CGACAAGAGGTAAGACTATACTAACAGAATCAGAATTAGACTACCTGGGGCCCAGGGCTCAAGAAGGAAAAATGACTGTAAGAGGACGTTAATAACCTTTTAGGCCCCGTGTAGCAATGGCACACTATGTGCGGTGCTGGAGCCACCTGGAACATCAGGTTTGGTTCCCAGGTCAATCTGTACAAGCTGGGAGCAGGCATGTCCACGAGCCTGGGTGGCTGGGAAGGCCGGGGCAGAGAGTCATGATGTGAGACCCTGTGGAGGGTCTGTCACTCTTAAAAACTTGAAAAAAAAAAACTTTTTAAGATGAAGAAACTGCTCTATACTTTTCATTGTGGTAATTCTAGAACTATTACCAAAGAGTCATCAAACTATACACTTCAAAGAATGAATTTTACTATATGTAAATACTACCGTGGAAGGGACCAGCAGTTAGCCTAATGGCTATGTCGCTGAACTCCTATGTAGTCGACTGTGGTTCGAGTCCCGGATCCGGTGGCTTAAACTCATGCCGGGCGCATGTGTGTGCGTGCCCAAGATCTGGTCATCCCCCCTGGGGGGTGATTTATTGCTGTCTGGTGAGCGCATGCGCCCTATAGCAAAAACCTCTCAAAAACAAAACAACAACAACAACAAAAAAACTACCGTGGAAGAAAAATTCAAACAGGCTAAGATACTAATTTTTGAAAAAAATTTGCAGAGGGTGTACGCACTTGAGACAGTGACAGAGAGGGGGAAAATGAGAAAGCGCCCCCTGTGGGTCATGGTCATGCCGCACTCCCTTCTCCGTTTCTCCCTACGTTTGGGAATTGGGGCATGCACACACACACACATGCGGCGTGCTTCTCAACCCACTGGGTCTGGAACTTGAACTGCGTGGTGAACCATGTAGTACCACCAGGCCATGGACTGGCCCAACATTAATGTTAATACAACTGTTACCTAAACTATATAAAGTAAATTGCACAAAGAATAAAAAAAAAAAAGGAACTGGTATACGAATTAAATAGGACTAAGCACATAAGGCATACAATAGTATTTGTAAATGCTATTTTGTAAATACTTACAAATACTTTGTATTAAATATCAACTATTAGTCTTTCAAATATATTTCCCCCTCTCGCCCGTTTGCTAATGACTGACCAAATGAACAAATATTTTTACTAATGATCATGGATCACAATGCAACAAGTAAGACTGCATTAAGGTCAAAGACAGGTTGGGCCAGCAGGTGGCATGGAGATTAAGCGGGCTGGATCCCACATACCAACCGTGAGGATTGAGTCTTGGACCTGGTGGTTTTAAAATCACGCCGGCTGTGGGGGACCAGCAGTTAGCGTAATGGCTATGTCGCTGGACTCCCACGTAGTCAACCACGGTTCGCATCCCAGACCCGGTTGCTTAAAACTCACGCCGGGCACGTGTGCATGCATGCCCAAGATCCCAAGAGGAGAACGGAGAAGGGATTGCAGCGTGGCCATCCCCCCGGGGGGTGATTTCTCACTTTCTGACTCTCTGTCTTTCTCAGTCTGTCTGGAGAGCCCATGCGCCCTATAGCAAAACTCTCTCCAAAAAAAAAAAAAATATCACGCCGGCTCTGTGTGCACGCAGGGCCACAATCCTGAGAGGAGTGCAGAGAAGGGATTGTGGCGTGGCCATCCCCAGAGTGGTACTTTCTCACTTTCTCTCTCTCTCTCCAGCAAGCACACACACTAAAAAAGCTATAAAAAGCTATAAAAAGCTATAAAAAAGCTATGAAAAAGCTATAAAAGTTACAGGCAGATCATTGGTATTTACTTTGTTACAGTTTACTCCCAGTAAGGGGAAAGTACAGGTACATTTCAACCTCAACTGCAACACGTGGGCCCACTGTGATGGTGGGCTACTGCTCTGTGGGCTGGGACCACACGAGAGACCCGGGTTCAATTCCAGTCCAACCTGAAAGTGAGACATGGTGGCATGTGCCCGTAATCCCAGTGACTTTGAGAAGGCTAAGTCAGGAGGGTCAGATATGGTGAGACCTCATCTTTAAACAATGGGAAAAAAAAAATGAAGCAACTGAATGAAGCAGCAGATGTGAGAATCCAACTGTCCTGCGTTAAGTCAAACATACTTTGCATTTATAAAATTATAAAACAGTGCCATTCTTGTATTTTGTTGTTTTGTTTTATTTTGGAAAACATAGCTTTTTCTTTTTTAGTAAAATTAAGTTATTTATGTTAATTTGGTATTGTTATTTTTAAATGAATGATTAAGTAACTACTTTAAAGTTTTCAATATGGTAAATATCAACAGCTATAACAAAAGCTTTTGGAGAGTATTTAAATTTTTTAAATAAAGAACTATTTTATTTAACTTCATTTATTTATTTTAAATTTGACCAGAGAGGGACAGAGTAAGGGGGAGAGAGAGAGAGAGAGAGAAAGAGAGAGAGCGAGAAAGTGAGAAAGCAAGCCACCAGGTCCAGGACTCAAAACGTGGTCAGCCATGTGGGAGTCCAGCACCCTTAACCACCACACCATCTGCTGGCCCCAGGAATATTTAATTTTTAAGACAAAAGGGGTCATGAGGAAGAAAGATTGAGAACTACTGTTTAAGTAATAGATGTGATCTCCTACTTCTTTTCACAAGCTTCTAAATGTCTTCAGTTAGTTTAGTATTCTTTTTTTTAATCTGGTAAGAGAATAACAACCCATATATCAAACAGCACTCTGAGGACCAGGTGGTGTGCTGGAAGGTACTGTCTGTGGCAGACAGTCACCTAGCTCGTCTCTAGATGAAGTGATGACCCCGATACACCACCACCACTCGGTGCTGACTCATCGCTTTCTCTTTTTGACTCTGTTCCCAGTTGAACTGCCAGCTACCTGTGGATCTGGGTAAGGAAACAGCCAGGGAGGAACCAAGGGGTAACCCTCTGCCTCTCCTGGTGCCCGTCCACTTTAAGGCATAGAGACCTCTGCTTTCTACCCGGCGCTGCCTGTGCCACTGCTCGTTCTCCGGGGTCCTCAGTGAGTTACGGCGTATGTGACACTACTGTGTTTGAGTAAGACTGCAATTGAAGTCACATACAGAGTCTCTTTCTTAAGGGATAATTATGACAGTTAAAGGTCATTTCTTTCTTTCTTGTCATGAGACAGAGATGGCGGTGGGGCGGGGGGGGGAGACAAGCACCCTGAACAGGGCCTTCCGCTGTGATACGCCCCCTCGGCCACCTGGCCAGTCAGGATCACAGCATGCCCCTGCAAGCCAGTATTTCACAGCAGTGCTCTACCGCAGGTGGGCCACTGACTGCTAGTTCAGAATCTTCCCATTTTTATTAATTTAGGGATGTGAATTTCTAGAGCTTCTAGAATGGCTATGGCATGACTTCAGAGTGACTATCTGTCAGATCTCCTCGTTCCTGCTGTTCCCCACATCCTTACTCTACTTTACCCTTAGAATTTCTGCCCTGAAGTTGATTAAGATAACAGGTTGTGGGACCAGCAGTTGGCGTAATGGCTATGTCGCTGGATTCCCATGTAATCGACAGACTCGGCGGCTTAAACTCACGCTGGGTGCATGTGTGTGCGTGCCCAAGATCCCGAGAGGAGAATGAAGGAGAAGGGATTGCGGTGTGGCCATCCCCCGGGAGGTGATTTCTCGCTTTCTGTCTCTCTGGCGAGTGCACACGCCCTATAGCAAAAA